TGACCCATAGGTTGGGCCTGGTCTACTGACTAGGCCTAGCCAGTGGACTGTGGCCTGACCTATGGGTTGGGCCTGGCCTGTGAGCAATTTCAATCCAAATAATATCTAATTTCATACCGCAACATATATTCATTAACAATATAAACAAAAACATAATAATACATTAAATGATAGATAAAGAGATAAGCTTTAATATAAGGAAATAACATTCTAAATTTGAATAGAAATCATAATACATTAAAAGATACATTCGGAGATAAGTTTTAATATAAGGAAATAACCTTCTAAATTCAAATAGAAGTCATGTTTTCGATACATATAAAATTTTAACAAATTCTAGTCAAATTTTAGATCATTCAGAATAGCATATTTTAGATGAAATAATATCAAAAAAAAAATTTTAGATAACATATCTTAATCTAATAAGATTTTAATCCAGATAAGATTAAAGATAAACTATAATGCTAGAAAATATCATATAAAATATATAAATTTTTAACATATTTAAATCTATAATGAAAACCTTAATCATGGGTCAAAGAATATTATAAAAATTTTAACTAATTACTTTAATATAATAATAAAAATTTTATCATTTAAAGAATTGATAAATATTTTTCAAACTATAAAACTTTTAACATTTAAAGAATCAAAATAAAAACTAAAACTTTTATATTCAAGAAAGGCATATAAATCTACCTCTCGTTAGTTGAATATAACTCCTCGTTCCTCCGCTCGACTAGGTGAAACGAAAGAGAGAAATCCCTTCCCTTAAATAGGAGGAGGTGAGCCTCCATTAACGGAAATATATTTTTATTTTTATATTTATTTAATATAGATTATTTATATTTAATATACTAACAAATATGATCTCATCCTATTTGGAATGCTTAATAGTTATTTCCTAATTTATATTAACAAACAAGGAAATATATTAAGATTTTCTAAATTACAATGGTAAGGAAAACAAAATTTAATTATGAACTTAAATATTTGATTTGATTACAGTCTTATATTGTCTTTGAGTGTTATAGGGGTCTGATGGGGATCAGACACAAAGGTGATTGGCTTTAGGTCAAGTAAGAGATTGTTAGTCATATGTGCCCTATAAGCCAATTACATAAATGATGACACGTATGACTTGACACATAGTCTTTTTGCTTATTATTATTATTTAGTATTTTATCACTTTATATTGTTTGTTGCATGAATATATTGTGATGTCCATGAATCTATGCAATGGGAATTAGATCATGATAGGATCACGACAATGAGACCGATTCATCTTTAAACACATATCCTAAATAATTTTGGTCATAGGTTACTCGAGAGGGACATCGAGATAACTGGACATATTGGTGTACTGTATACCTATCCATATGATGGATGCAATTAGTCTCTGCTCGTGTGGGGATACTAGGGATATAGTGCAGGTGCTAATTGGAGAATAAGTTCACTGATTGATCCGCTCATAGAATGCTGGATAGTTTATGATGTCTTACTGTCAGATGGTAATTCTGTAGTCCTAGTGGTGTATCTTGTCCTTAGACTTGAGGCATCAAGAATGTCCTATATGAGTATTCCACTCTTTGATACCATACTTACAGGTTTGGAGGTTCTAGACCTAGCACAATCGGTCCTCAAGAGTGGTATCCAATCTTATGAGGGCTATTGAGTGTCGATAGATGATCATTCGCTCTCAGTGTCATGAAAAGAATATCACATGTGTTCTTGCTTAGACAAATCCCTAGTCAAGATCATTCAGATTGAGAGAGAAATAGTTCTATGAGAGAATCCAATTAAAGCAAGACTCGAGTAAAAACTGTATGGGTCTGATAGTATCATGCTTGGTATACAGTCTCTGGGGTATTAGATGGATGAGAGACTATAGATATACGATAATTGAGGATAGAATATGTCCAAAGGATTGGATTCCTCTATATCGTTTGGGGATTGTGGCGTGGTGTCATAGTATGTCTGTATTCGATGAGTCAAGTGAATTATTATGAAGATAATAATTCACTAAGCCAGAAGGAGTTCTGACAGGTATGACTCATGGTCAGCTCGATATTGAGCCTAAAGGGTCACACACATATGGTAGGCGTTACAACGAGTAAAGATTCAGATATGAGATATTCGTCAGACACCCTATCTTGTTGGATATCCAATAAGCTCCTGAATTATTGAATCATATAGATATGATCAAATAAAAGCCGATGAGAGATATTGGATAGAGACCTACTAATCTAAAAGGCTTTAGTAGTTGGATGGAGATCTAATACACAATAGGACAGGATCCATTAGTGTTAAATTGATAGGGAGCCTATATAAATATGAGGGAACTAAAAACCCATAAGCTAGAGGTTTTCTTGGTTGTCACTTCCTATTCTCCTATTCCCTTCTCTTCCTTATAAAGATTTGAGGAGTGTCGTCGTAGCCCTACTATGTGGATCACCACTAGAGAGGATGACGCTTGACCTCTTTCATCCTCTCCTATAGATCTATAGAGATTCATAGATATACAATCTTCCTATGTAATACAACTATCTCATATGTGGTTTTCAGTTTTACGAATTTTGCGTATCAATCTTCACACAACGACGAACACATCTTTGGAAAATTTGAGGATTTTGTTTTCTGTTATTCTATTACATATGTTGTGTCACCCCTAAATTTCCCAATAAATTATTCATTTATTCTCATTAGAATATAATCAGGTTTTTATGTGGATGATTTAATTATTACTAATAATAAATAAGTAATAATTAATCAATTTATTTAATGGAAATAAGTTTTCTATCAAAAATCTTAGGCCCCTCAACTTTTTTTCTTGGTGTTTAGGCTATCCACATGACAAGTCTATTTCTTTCTTAATAAAAATTTATTCATGATCTTCTTAATCACACCAAAATGCTTAAAGCTAATATTATTATTATGTCAATCTCTACGAGTGTTCCTCTTACCTTATATGAGAGTACTAATCATAGTGACACTACTCGGTATCATCAAGTTATTGATAATTTATAATATTTAACATTCACTCATCCAGATATTACATATATAGTAAATAAATAATCTTAATTTATGCACAAGCTTACTTTCAATCATTGAATAACTATTAAACATCTTCTTTGATATTTAAAGGGTACTATTAATTATAACTTATTTATCCGAAAAGACTCTCTTTAATTGTTTTATGTCTTTTTAGATGTCGATTGGATGTATAATAAGAATAATATGATATATACTAGTGCTTATGTCGGATTTGATGATGACAATTTAATCTCTTGAAGTTTTAAAAAATAAAACTTTATTGTGAGATCTTTTATAAAGGTTGAATATTGTTGCCTCTATAACTATTAAGTTTCGTTGAATTCAATCATTGTTATATGTACTAATTATCATATTTTCTGACCCTCCATCTATATATTGCAATAATATTATTGCAACATATCTATGTGCTAATCTTGTATTTCGAATGAAGTACATAGTTATTGATCTTCACATATTCATGGTAAAGTTCAAAATAGTGAGTTACATGTTTCTTATGTTTTATCCTCTTATCAACTTGTAGATACTCTTACCAAGTTTTTATCTCGTTAGTAATTTATTCTGCTTTACCCCAAGATCAATGTCTTTGATAGGAATAATATCTTGAGAAGACATATTAGAAAGAATATTATTAAAAATAAATCTTAATAAAATTATCATGATCCTCGTAATATCTTGATGATATATAATAATAATTTTAAATCATAAAATTTATTATAATATATGATCATGATTCTATCAACAACGATTATCATGATCTCAACATATCTCTCACAATATTAACTGATTTAGATAAATATTTTATATTTATTATTGATTAAAAAACTATATAATTAGTATATTTTATAATCTGTATATAGACTCATATAGGTGTTCAATAAAAATTCAAGTAATCGCCTGCCCAAGTGGGGCCCACCAACTCGGCTCGCGCGTCAGTTTGGCCGATGACACGTTGGAGAGCTGAGTCTGGCTGCTCGTGGCCGTCGCGGGAGAGGACATCTTCGGACTCAACTCAGCCACGTGCAGGTCACGTGATATCATCTTCCTTCCTTCTCGAGTCAGACTGTGCCGTGGAATATTTCTCCATGCACATTTCGTACATAATCATATAAGCATAAGGTTGTTCACAAGCTTCTGAGCAAATAATAACAACGGCGAGTGGTGACTGATACGGTAGCATCCATTCTGCTGAATGTTAATAGTTTTTTTAATGTGTGTTCCCTTCTCTAAAAGGTTGTCATTAGGGTTTAAAACTTGTTGATGCCTCCTTGTTCCACCCAAAAAAAAGAAAAAGTCAAAAGTCAACCAAATGTCGAGGCTTTGCTACCTCGAATGAATTCGATAACTGTTTATAGGAAATTACCTATTAATCGTATGTTGACAGATGATGTTTAGTTGGTAGGGTTTTGTGGATGGATGGATATTTTGACTGCTGACTTGGATTTCTGATGACTCTTGTGGAAGCTTCTTTTCTTCCTTCTGGTCTTAGGTCTGACATTTTGACCAAATAATGCCTACATTTTTTTGTGCATCTAAAATATAAATCAAATTTTATTTCAGCCTCTTATCTTGTAGCGGGGTCAACTACTCATGCTGAAGTCAACTACAGTGGAGAGTTTGGATTGGTTTTTCAGATGAGACAAGGTGCGTTGGTCGGTCTAAAGTCAAACACCTATTAGTTAGTTGGTCTTTCTTGACATCATCAACTGTCAGCCCAGTCTTGGAGTTATGTTACGAGGAAAAATAAAATTATCATATTTCTTTTAATATTATGTTATTATAATTTTAAATCATAAAATTTATGATAATATATTATCATGGATTCTATCAATAAAAAATATCTTTTAAATCATTAAATAATTTAATAAAAAGTTTATATTTATTATTAATTAAAAAATCATATAATTATTCTATCAATAAAATTAAGTCATTGACAACACACATAGGAGTGCAGCTTGCAAGAACGAAACGTATACAATTTAAGGTACACATACATATTGCATTTGGTTGACCACAAGAACGAGCATCCATCGCATGATTACACATGCTGCTTAGAGCCCATCAATTTTTTGCATCTCCTAATCCATAAACAATATAAATAAAAAAATTGCTCTTTTGTTTCTCTTCATCGCTTTGGGAAAGATCTGGGTCAGGTATTTACATCAGGACCACCGGCGTTGGAATCGCGCCACGCGTCCATTAGCGGCGTGAGTCGCCTGCCGTCCGCCTCGGTTGCCGTAGCAGTTCGATCAACGCCTCCGCCTGGTTTTATTTCGATTTTTTAATTCCATTTTAAGCAAACCAGAAAACAAAACAATCGACAAGGACGGGGGGAATGGGATCACCGGAAACGGTGAGGTTACCTTCTCCTTGGACTTCTTGGTGGCGGACTGGGAGAGCGCGACGAGCGGGGGAACAGCGCCCTCGTGGGCGGCCATCTTGCGGTAGACGGCGCTCTCCTTGCAGATCTGGAGGAGGGATCGGACGGCAATATCCTTCTGCCGCGACGTGCCCGCCTCCACCATCTCCACTAGCACCGGGATGCCGTCCTCCTCCACCGCCGCTGCCCGGCCCTCCGCCACCTCCACCACCGCGTTCAGCACGTAGGCGGCCTTGTCCACCATGCCGGAATCCGGGTCGGCCATCAGGTCCAGGAGCGACCGCACGATGCCGGCCTCGACGGCCCGGGTCTTGTTCTCGCGTGAGGCGAGGAGGGCGAAGAGGGCGGTGGCGGCGTCCTTCTTCGCGCGGGGCCCGCCGGACTCGAGGAGGGCCACCAAGGGAGGGATGGCGCCGGAGCGGCCGATGGCGGTGCGGAGGTCGTCGAGCTGGGCGAGCCGGAGGAGGGCGCAGGCGGCGTTCTCGCGAGCGACGGGGGTGCCGGTGCTGAGGGCGCAGACGAGGGGGCGGATGGCGCCGGCGGCGGCGATCAGGGTCTTGTTCTCGTCGCAGAGGGAGAGGTTCAGCACGGCGGTGACGCCGTGCTCCTGGAGCTGGGGATCCGGGTGAGAGACCAGCGCGACGAGGGGGCCGACCGCTCCGGCGGCGGCGACACGCAGCCGGTTCTCCGGGTTGTGCTTCGCTAGGAGGCGGAGCTCCATGGCGGCTCGGCGCTGGGACTCGACGGTGGCGGAGGGAGACTCGAGGTCGGAGATGAGCCGGCGCACCACCTCGTGGGAGTAATCAACGGCGTAGGAGACAAGGAGCCGATGGAGTCCCCCGCCGCCGCCGCCGCCGCCGATGGAGGAAGACGACGTGGTGGGCGATCCGGAGGAGGGGAACTCGCCGGAGCGGTCACTGTTGCAGTCGCTGAAGGCGCCAGAGGTGTCGCTGTCGTTTCGTCCCATGTACCGATTGCTCGACGGGTTCTCCTTCTCCATTCGATCACGAACCGAAGCCAGTCGACTCGATTCCTTCCCGGTCCAATTCGATTCGCCGGAGAACCAGAGAACGGAAACCCGGCGGGCTCGTCGAAGGATTCTTTGCTTTCCAGACGGGGAACGGAGGGGTGAGGGGGGAGCGCGATTAAAAGGAAGCGGGGATGAGATGCGCACGTGCTTTGCGCGTGCTATGTGCCACGGTCGCCGCCATGCAGCGGAGGGCAACCCGAGTGGCGCTCGGCCGCACGTGGGAAAGGCTCGACGCGTCTGTGGTTGGTTTTCAGTTGGGAAGAGAGACGACTGACTCCAACGGACGAGCCCCGGACCTCTTCCTTTACCAGAGTGTTAAGTTATACCCTCGCTCCTCTCGCTGTGGACGAACCTTACAACAATTAATGTATAATTGCGTTATTTTCTGGTCCTGCTATTATCGGTGGGATATTGGAGTCGGTTAAAGTTGGTCAACACTGGGAATCGGTGGTCAAAAAGGGCGAAAGATAAAATCTAGAGGAGCGGAAAAGTAGCATCCAACGAGTTGACCGTATACTGATTCAGACACTTGACTCGAGCCTTTTAACGAGTCTTTCACCTGCTATTTTGTGACACAAATATAATTCAAATAAACCTATAAATTTAGAAAAGAGATAATTCAAATACAGTCATATTGGTTTCTTGTTCCCCGCCATCTACTGCAGCTTATTTTCTCTCAAGAACATAAAGAAAAGGAGATATAGTATCTGATGCAGGATAGGTCAAATCAGCGTTTGTAGTCCAACGGTTAGGATAATTGCCTTCCAAGCAATAGACCCGGGTTCGACTCCCGGCAAACGCAATTTTTTGATTTCTATTGTTTTCATTCAAAGCGATCTGACACCTCGTTCATTGCAAGCCCAGCTGGGTTGCTTTAAGATTTGCGCTCGATCCCACGTACTGTTGGTCCAATTGCTCGCCACCTTCCTCTGGCCGGTAGCTGACACCCAATACGACCAAATTAGGAACGTCAACCGCAATTTCCACATCTCTCTCTCTCTCTCTCAATGTGAGCATAGCATCGTCGTAGGTGTGGTAGGTTACCCGTACTTGTTTATTTCCTAGTGGCTTGAGACTTAGGAATGTGCATCATGGCCTTCCATAGCTAATCTTTATTATATCCATATCTTAAACATTGATCTTAATCGCAGGCTTCCACCACTGTAATCGCAAGGTGCTATCGCGCCGCCCACGGAGACTTCACGCATGGTATCTATTTTTGACAGTTGGGCCATTCGATGGCACGCACATGCGGCTCCACTAGATCAGATCAGATGCACATTCGAACACATTCACATATCAAAGCAAGCTGCTCTTTTATTCCCTCTGCTATTTCAACATAGCTTGTATCATTAAAATTACAATTCGCTTTAATAATAGCGCGATCACTTGATCCCTCTGTGTGATTCGTGCTGAACACGAATTCCTCGCTGTTGCTCGTGACGCTCACGTCCGTGAAAGCCTCGCTGCCGCGGGTCACCTCGTCGACGCTGCGATCCCTGCCGTCGCTTCGCACCGTCACCCAGTCCTCGCCCCACGTCCAGTTGGGCGCAATGCCAAGCAAGCTCTGCATTCTCTCGGACGCGTCCTCCGCTGGTTGTTCGAGCGACTCCTCGTCTTCTTCCTCCTCCTCCTCCGAGAGCGCCGACCAGAAGCCCTGATCGAGCGTGCTCTTGGGAGAAACCCAGCGGTAATCTAGGGGATTCGAGGTCCAAGACGCAACGAATGGGTGCCGGAGGAGTTGCTCTGCCGACCACCGCTCCCTGGGATCCCTCCTCAGGCACCTGCTCAAGAAGTCATTTCCGTCTTCCGAGAGCCAGCAGGGGAACTCTGGCACGGCCGCCGAGAACGCGATTCGGTGGAGAGCGGAGACGGGATCCGAGGCGTGCGGCCACGGCGGCTGCCCTGTGGCCATCTCGATGACGGTGCATCCCAGGGCCCAGACGTCCGCCGGGGCACTCTGCTCCTCCCCCCGCGCGACCTCCGGCGCCATGAACATGGGCGTGCCCCTCGGTTGGACGCGTCCTCCGCCATCCTTGTCCTCCTCGTCCGCCCGCCGCGCGCACCCGAAGTCCGCGATCTTCGCCCGCCCGCCGGAGCAAATCAAGACGTTTTGGCTCTTCAGATCACAGTGAACGACGCCGTTCGAGTGGAGGTATGCCAGCCCCCGGAGGAGGTCACACGTGTAGGACCGGATGTTGAGCTCGTCCAGCCGACCGCCCCGCTTCTTGATCTCGTCAGACATGGAGCCCCCGGGAGCGTACTCCATGAAGAGATCGTAGCAGAGGCCAACCTCGAAGCCAAAATAAGAGACGACATAGGGCGAATCGAGCGAAGACAGGATCCTCTGCTCCCTCTGCAGGTCCCCGGAGGAGGAAAGCTCCGCGGACTTGACCGCGAAGATCTCGCCGGACGAAAGCGAAGCGGCGACGGAGACGGTGGCGGAGGCTCCCCGGCCTACGATCCGGCCACGGCGCCACGCATCAATCGCCATCCTTGTTTAAGCTCGACGCGAGAGAGTGACAGCGAAGGCTCAAACGAAAGCAGATGAGGGAAGGGGACCGAACAAATGGGAGTCGGCGAGATCGGCACTATATATAAAGGGGGTGGCTTCGGCCGCGTTCACAGAGCCACGTGTCGCAAGTGAAGTCGATGGATAGCCTTCTTTCCAAGCAAATATGAAAGCGTGAACGCATGCTGCATGAGAAACAGCTGACCATCTAACTTTCCAACACACACATCACCTGTTCAACATTAGGTAGCTCTCAATCCTGTTGTTCTCTGTCACTTTTCCTTCTGCCTAAGCCTATCGTGATGAAATGGGCAAGCATATCACCTTCCTTCTGCCCTTTTTCGCTTCTCTGAGTCTATCCAATCTTTACAGTTGGCTTGTGCCGGTGCCGCCTGGGAAACACATGGACGAGGTGGGGGAAGGGGATCCACCTGGGAATAATACCTGTCCTCTCTGCATGCTTCGGTAAAGGAAGAGAGCACATCCTCTCCGGGAAGGATGATGATGATGATCCAAGTGGCTGGATTTGGCCACGCGTGGCGGTGCCGAAGGCTTCGGAATTAAGCCTGGGAGCTGTCAAACAGACAGCAAGACGCCACCGAATAATAGATCTACGCAGAAAGGAATGGAGGGAGGTGGAGATGGGCAGATGCTGCCGCTGTGGAGCGTCTGCAGCCACATGGTCTGCTAGGTGATCTAAGGAGGAGGATTTGGCGTTACGTCTCATAATTTGGCAATCAGATGCAGGGCTTCTGGGGGTATATTCTCGGCATGATTCATGGCACCATTGCTTCTGCTGCCAACCGTGTTGAGCTTTAGGTGGCCCCATTATTAGCTACAGCAGCAGCAGCAGAAGCAGATCATAACCTTTTGACTTCACTATGTGTAAGCAATGATGGGAGGCTAAAGCTGTGACCCGAAACAAGCTTCCTGAAAACCTTTCTGAAGTCCCCACACATGCATGCACCTCAGTCATCTTCACGATCAGTGTCCTTCGAGGATTCACACTGAGGACCTGTCTCTGGTCATGTCTCACACTACAGCTATCTGACAGTGAGTTGCAAATTCTCCCAATACTTGGAGGTTTATGATGAGACAATGGTCAAAAATCAAAAATATTTATTTGTTGCCGCATGCAAAAGTCACAGCGCCGACACCTGAGAAAGCATGAAAAGACACGGCCGGAAATATCAGTGTGGCTTCCAAGCTAAGTAATCTCTTCTTCCTTGCAGCAGTTTTTACCTCTCTCTCTCTCTCTCTCTCCTGCAAAGTAATGGCCGGCAAAGTAAAGTTTTAGTGGCTTTTACATGTAAAAGTTTGTGTTGCAGCTGAGGTCATTCTTTGATGGGGATAGCTGATGCAGATGCAGATGCAGATGCAGAATCAGCACACTCAGTTGTCTTCGCACCACATGCCATTCCATAATGCAATCAAACATAATAGGATATATGTTGTTTAGTCTCATAATATTTAGATTAAATAAGTTAATACGTGAGTTGACCATCGAATTGAGCTTTGCAAATGATAGAAATTTAGTTTATCGAAAAAAGAAGAAAAAAAACATGATTAGAACTTTATTTGCTTTATGCATTTATTTATCTTAGAAATGGATTCATTGGATGTATTGCACGACCGGCCTCGAAATCAAGGCGTGCTTTTAGTTGACATGACATGGTATGATTTCGACGGTTGCCTACGCCGAATTGATTGGCTTGGAATACCACTCCTACCTGCAACCTTCGTGTGTGGCAAAGGTGGGTCGAGAATTGGGATAAGTCCACCCACCATGAAGGTTAATTGAGAATTAAGATACAGAATTCAATACCAATATCCATAAATAACATTTAGAGTGTAGACAATACTGTCGAGGTTATACTAACAAAAACAATCGATCACAATAGAAGAACAATCAGAATCTTATAATTTATCTATCTAACTTAAGCGTAGAATAGATCGAGTCACAAGCTCATCCCACGATGATCTTTTCATGCTCGATGTGGATGATTCTAACTCTATGTCGAGTTTTATAATCACGATTAGGTTAGATTTTTATTGAACTTCTCATTGGCAATCGATTTTTTAGACTAACAATATTCATCAACGAGTCTACCATTGGCCACTCCCACTCTTCCTCCATTGTCCCAAAACTATGGTTGCTCCTATTGCCGATTATGACAGCAACAGATAGGTCCTCAGATCATGCCAAGTTTCCTGATATGCTCTTAAGAAATCAAATGCTGCCAACAACACCGTCTCTTTCTACTGTCCTTACTAAACAATCTACAGAAAAAGTGGAGCCAACTGTTGTGGATTTCGACATCTCGTCAGCTCTGCTTTCTCGAGAAGTCCACTACACCCCTTCGTTGTCTACCCATGAGAAGAACCGATCTCACTATGTGGAGATCCCTCTCCTCTCCATCGCTAACATCACGAGTCAGTCAACCATAATTTTCTCTGTAGTTAACACCGCTTCTTCCTCTTTATCTCCTTTGGTGCCTCATCAAAACCTAATGCCTTCTCCATCTCTTTCTTGGATGGATGTCGAAGCCTCGACGTCACCATTTCTTACCTCCAGCAATGTTTCGTCCCAGTCATTCTCCTTCCAAGCCGCTCCTGTTGATCTTCCTCTTCCTCATGCCAATCCTATAAAGGCAAGGATCCCATGGTCATGCAAGACTCGCCTTCGTTCAATGGTCTCCTTCAAGTCAACACCAAATGAGACTTTATTTCAGCAGACGACGTGTTGAAGTGGAATAGGATTTCCACCTGTCGTGGTGCCCACAAGAAATGTGGGTCCAATCATCTCTCATCTTTGATTAGAATCACTTTATACACACACACACACACTCTCTCTCTCTCTCTCTCTCTCTTCTAGAAACACACATGCATGATGAAGCCAATCCAACATGGTGGTCTATTGGTAGCCTGAAGATTAGAATATCATCAAAATGTCAATCATCTATAAGAACAAACAAAGCATACATTTTACTACTCAAACTTCTGGTAAGCCCCTTTAGCTTTTCTCAATTATCTTTGCACATTTCTTTCCTATAACAAGCTTCTAATATCCAAAATCAAATTATAGACAAATCAGACTATTATGATTTCTCTCATTTCTATTGTCTCTGACTTGATCTATGATAATTCTTGTCACTAAAATATCTCTCTGTTGATTTTATGATGGTACTTAAGTTTGGAGTCTCCACTCTTTTAGCATCCTCCAAAAAGCATTTATAGATACCTAAAAGAGGAGACCACCTACCAAGAGGACAGATGAGATGGCTAGAAAGTAGTTTGGAATCTTAAAATTCTTCTAAAAATTAAAATTTTCTTGTGAAAACTATTTTAGAATCAATCACCTTTCTACATTGCTGATTTATCTATATTTCTCCATTGTTAAATTGATGTTTGTCACATTTGTCATCTCCAAGAGAACTCCTCTCCCATATTCTTTAATTGTGAGTTTGTCAAATCTTTTTGGATTCTTATTCAACGCCATCTTGTGGTAACTTTTCAAGTGATGCCCAATTGGCGGAATGGTGTTTGGCTTTAAAAAGGTAGCGACACAGATAAAGTTTCCTCTTCTTTGTTTGTGTCCACTATCGACACTTCATCTAATTAGGGTTCCTTTGGAAGAATAAAAATAATTATAGATTCAACAACCGTGCATCCAATGAGTCCTTTTTTGATTCAAGTTCTTTTGCATGTTTTGAATTCTACTTTGCCAATAGTGATAAGAGTCACAATTGCATGTATACTGAATGTTGTCTTATTTTGGATGGTTTTCGCTTGGCAAAACAAGTTTGTCTTTCCAACTTTGCAATGAAATCTGACTCTATGGAGTCCATCATCATACTTAGTCGTTCCTCGCCTTCTCGTTGGTCGCTTAAGAATCTTTGAAACGACATTCTGCGAGTTCTGTCAATGTACTTGGATTGTTCATATCAATCGTTCAAGAAATACTTTCGTTCATAATCTTAGAAAGAATGGGGCAGTAGCGAGGTTGAAGGAACACATGACTATGCAGCTATGGGTACACGAAAGGCATGTGTTTTGTATGAGGCTTAAACGACAGCAACATGAGAATTGGATGGAGCTACAGGTCCAAAACTGGAGGAAGGTGACCAGGTTTTGTAGTTGAAGCCAATGGAGGAGTCGAATCCAAGCAGCAGCAGTTTTCGCATCTTAAATCGTCAGGCATACCAAAACATATATTTGAATGGAACATAAAATTTTATGCCCTTATTATTGATTTCTCCTATGACAAGTTCAATAATGATTCTAAATTATAGTTGATAAATTTTTAATTGAGTAACCAGTAATCCCAAGAGCCTAAGCTATTAGGAAAAGATCCAATATATCTATAAGCTCCAACATTTATCCAATTGTTATGTACCTTTATATCGTAGGGTACGAATTGATACGGCTTAGTCCTATCTTGAAAGCACAAGATTAGATTCTTGAGGGAAGGAGGCTGGAGAAACGAAATCATGTTTGGGGGTTGGCTCTCAGGGATCCTAAGAGGGGTCTTGAGCCATCTCACTTATGTCATGTTCCTACTCGATAGGTCGATATCGACCGCGATGAGGAAGATGAGGATTGGCCGTGGAGCCTCTTAGGAATGTGGCTGCAGCGGAGCGAAACTTCGCTTTTCTCAACGACGTTGGTCATTGGCCAAAGGTAAGAGCGAAACTTCGCTTTTCTCAACGACGTTGGTCGTTGGCCAAAGGCAAGAGCGAAACTTCACTTTTCTCACTGCTCTGATACCATGATGAAAAGAATAGAAGATAAGAACAATTACTGAAGAAGCTTTATTGAAAAAGTGAAGAAGCTTTATTGAAGAAATGAAAAATGCTTCAATACATTAACATGTTCCCTCTTCTATTTATACAGATTAGAAGAAAGGATTTCCCATTTCCTCAACAGAATAAAGAGATTTCCTCATATAGTTAGAGAAATCTTATCTTCTATCAGATACGAAGATATTAGCATTATGTCGTCCTCTTGTATTGTTGAGGTAGGAGAAACCCATAATTTCATCCCATTATGTATGTGTGTGTGTGTTTCTG